AATCTCCGCTCTTCCTTTGCTTCCTCTCTCTCTCTTTCTCTGCGCTTCCATTTTCGTTGTCATTATTCTCTCTCTCTCAAAATTCCTTCTCTTCGCTGTTAGGGTTTCGTTTCCTTTACTTCAAAATCAAAACCTCTGCTTCACCGGTACGTTCCTTTTCACGTTTCGCATCCACCTCCTCGCGCTTCAGCGTTACTCTTAAATAACAATCGCTTAATTAGAAACGTTTCTTGTTTTTTTTTTTGTGTGTTTCGTGCTGAATGAATCCTCTGGCTTCTGATTTGTCTGCTTTTGCCTTTTCTGTTTTTACCTGCTCCTGAATTTGTGCGTTTTGCATTGCGGATTTGAATTGTCTTAATTTTATTTTCTCTGTGGCACGTTTCTGTTTCTGAGCGAAATGGTGAGAAATGAATTTTCGAATTTCCTGTTATGGCGTCGAAATGACGAATTCCGGCGCGGTGTGCCGAATGGCTTTGTCTCGCCGAGGTTCGCTGAGTTTCTGGAATCTGAGAATTTATCGGTTTTTTGGTGTTTTTTGTGGAGCTATTTGTAATTTATTTATTTTGCCGGTTTCGGATATAGTGTTTTTTTATTCTCATGCTGTGGTTACGGATTTCGATTGTGAATTTTAAATAAGAACGTAAGTTGATGTGGTTTTTTCTGTTTGAATGCAGGATTAAGCGTCCGTAGCGGTGGTACCTTTAATTGGAAAATCCCGAGGGTTGGGTTTCGTTTCCTTGATGGGGCTAATGCTGGTGATGATATTGTCAAGGAGAGTAATGGTGTTGGCTGAATCCATGAAAATATAAAAGGATCTGTATTGAATGAATTTGTTTTTTCCTTCCATGTTAGCGAATGCAAATTTTAGTGCGTTTGATTAAGATGGGTTGAAGAGATCTGCATGCTAGCTAGAAAATTAAATTAGAAATGGCTATTGCTGGTCTACACAGTGTGTCTGTGCTCGACTCTTCTTTCCTGAGGGACTCCCATTCCCAGTCCTCTGGGAGAGGTGGAGAGAGAAGACGGGGAAGCACCCAGTCTTCTTCAATCCTGCGAATGTGGCGAGAGATTGAAGATGAACATGTGGTGAATCAAGTTCAAGGAAGACCTGGTGAAGTAATTGAACAAAGGAGGGATGAGTTAATTGTGGACCGTTCGCGGGACAATAGACTGGATATCCAAGAGAGAGCACAGGGGCATGTTCTAGAAGATGCAGTTTTGGGTGAGAATGAATCTGAAACATGGTCACAGTCACAAAGTCAGAATGAATCCCATGATGATCTTGAGGATTTAAACAATTCTACCTGTGAGAACTCTTCCGCCTTGGGAGAAGTTGAAAGGGTAAGAGTGAGGCAAATTTTCAGGGAATGGATGAACAGTGGTGCTGGGGATCATGTATCAAACATTTCCCGAAGAAGTAATGGTTCAAGGGGACAATGGCTCGGAGAAACTGAGCAAGAAAGGGTGAGAGTTATACGGGAGTGGGTACAAATGAGTAGCCAGCAGAGAAGTGTTTCTCCTGGGGAAAACAGGGAAGAACCATCTGCTGAAATTGATACACAAATTGAACGTGTGCGTGATGGACTCATTGTTAACCAGATTGGGGGCCAAACTGAGCATACAAGGAGGGGCATACGAAAATTATGTGGCCGACAGGCTATGCTTGATATGCTTAAGAAGGCTGAGAGAGAAAGGCAAAGGGAAATTCATGAGTTGTTGGACCATCGGGCCGTATCGAAGTTCCCTTATCGGAATCGCATTCAGGTTTGTTCGATAAATGATTAATATCTTATTTTTGTATTATTTATCCAGTTTGCCTGTATCGTGGTTATTAGCTGTTAAGTTTGGGTCAGAGCTTTGTTACTGTGTAAGAGATTCACATCAGTTGACCCAGACAGTACCTGCAAGTGAGTGAGCTTGTTGGTTATACACTGAATTTCATGGCAAAATTTAAGAGAGATAATTTCATTGTAGGGATGTTAAACTTGTGTTTAAAATCCGAAGTATAATGTTGTGTGGGGCAAATACAAAATACTCCTAATGCAGAAATAATCTGAAATACAATAATTTAGACAACCAAGGAAAGGTCAAGCAAAATACTGTGCATTTTAATCCAATCAAACATTTTAAATTTTAGGACATGATATAAATCCCAAGCTTTGCTCTGCATTTGATGAATGTTTGTTAAAATGTTAACAGGCACTGCTTAGAGGCAGATTCTTGAGAAAAGATGGACCTGTTCATAATAACAGGCCCCTTTCTGTTGCAGAAAGTGAATTAGGCTTCTTGAGGCGAAGACAAACTGTATCAGGTCTAAGGTATGAATTTCTTTATGACATTAAGTGGATGATTTCAACTACATCTTTTCTTAATACTTTTCTTGTTTTTATGCAAGTTTGTTACCAGAAATAAAATGTATGACATCTTGTGTGTCTCTATATGAATTTTTTTTATAACATTTTTTTTTTACTAAAACATACATGATGGGTTGTATGAAAATTCGCTATATCCATCTTTTTGAATGTCTGTTTAGGCCATATATTTATGGCATTTAAATTATTAATTTTGTATATATTGGATTCACATGCTCAATTTTGTCCTGGTTCTTTTAAAAAAAGGGTCAAATGCTAATTCCTTTTAGTTGAAAAAAGGGGGAAAATGACTTGTTGACAATTGAATACAGTGGTTGTATGTGGTTAACAGTAAACTAATAACATAGTTTAATAAATTTCGCTTGCTGTTTTCTTCTTGGTAAAAGTAAGTATTCACCCTGTTATCTCTTAAGCCCATTCTTTCATGTCTTATTATGTTACTGCAAACTTATAGCTTCTAATCCTTAATCTGGTTGGAGGTTGCGTTAATTATTGTAGCCTCATGATTTTAATTTTATCATATTTTTGCTATATGCCAATGATATTAACTTCCCTTCTGAACAGGGAAGGATTTTCCTCCAGAAAGGAAAATAGTGGATGCTGTGAAGCTACCAGCCATGCATCTGATGCTTCATCTAATGTTGATATTGATTTTAATATGAATGAACAAACAGGATCAAGCAGTTCACACATGGTCCCAAGTGTACATTCTGAGCAGTATGACCCTAGTGACATGGGAAGCATTGTACTTGGGGTATCAGACAGCCAGATAAGTTTACAAGGAACCACATGTGAAAATTTAGATTGGCAAGAATCTACTGCTCAAGTAGGAGATCATTTGCCAATTAAATCAAAAGATTGTCAATCATCATGCAGTGTGGGCATTGAAAGAGGGGACAATATTGAGCAAAATGTTACTGTGATGCCAACTGAAGATACTACTAATGAACTTACCCTACAAAGTTTGCAAATTGCAGATTCAGAGCATAATATTAATCAAGAATTCTGCGAGGTGCATAATGAGCAATCTGGGCTCGGTGATTTAAATAATAATGAAAACAATTCTTCAAATCACAACAATCATATGGAGGATAATGTTAATGATGATGTAAATTGGAATGAATCTAGTGCTCTTGAAGGAGAACAGCCAGAAGAAGCTTTTGAAAATGAAGGAAGTGGGTGGTATCAGAGTGATACTGAATGGAGAAATAGCACCGAGGAAAATGTTGATGATAATCAGCTTAGTAATACAGCAAACGAGTGGCCTGAAAACAATTTGGGAAATGAGGATGGAGAGAATTCTCGTCTGCCGGAATCTCATGAAGTGTGGCATGAAGATGGTGGCTTCCAAGAGGCTGTAGAAAACTGGCTGGGAGGACCTTCTGATCATGAAAGTGCTCCAGTTGGTAGAATTCGTGGATTTTATTTTCCTGATGATGACAATGTGTACAGTGTTGAACTCAGGGAACTTCTTAATAGGTATGTAAATACAAGTGAAGGGTTTCTGCACTTTTCTTTCTAAAATAAAGATGTAATCTAGAATAAACCATTCTGTTCATCTTTCAGGAGAAGTGTCTCTAACCTGCTTGGAAGCAGTTTCCGTGACAGTCTTGATCAGTTGATACAGTCATATGTTGAAAGACAAGGTCATGCAAACATTGACTGGGAGCTGCAAGAAGCAACTCCTGCCTCAGTAGAGCAGGACCTTGAGCCACAGAGCAGGGATGAAGTTGTTGGTCAGGAGGCTACTGTTAATAGTCCACCTGACATGCCCTCTTTACCTATACCGCCTCCTCTGCCTCTTTGGGACCAGCACCCCCCTCGTGACAACTGGTCACATAACAACATAAATAATCAGCGTCTTGGAATTGTGCGTACATTTGCTTTGTTTTTGTTCCATTTGCTCGCATGAAATGAAAATGATTACAGTTTGGTCCTGTAAATGAATTTTATTAGTTATTATGGTTGGAAATTTTGTTTGCCTGATTTGAAATTTACAGCGTATAACTACTTTTCCTTAGCCAATGTTTTCCACGGTGTGGATAGCCTATTGTTAACTTTTTTTATTTTCCTTTTTATAAATGTGGTATGATTTAAATAATTTTCTTATTTCTTTTTGGCAGGATTGGGAGATTGTTAATGACTTGAGAATTGACATGGCTCGATTACAGCAAAGGATGAATAACATGCAGAGAATGCTGGAGGCTTGTATGGATATGCAGCTTGAGTTGCAGCGCTCTATAAGACAAGAAGTTTCTGCAGCCCTAAATCGCTCTGCCGATTCATCAGGTTTGCTATTTCTCTTCACATTTCATTTTTAAGGGCTCTTCCATTTTGCAATTAAACTGAGCTGTAACTTTTAAGTAAAGTAACTTATGTTATATAGCTCTCTGAGAAGAATAACTTATTTCAGGAATACATGACTGCGAGTCACCAGAAGATAAATCTAAATGGGAATGTGTGAGAAAAGGACTTTGTTGTATATGCTGTGAAAACAATATCGATTCTTTGTTGTACAGGTAATATACTAATATTCTTAATCAGTTGGATACATCTGTAGTCAGTTAGCACCTGAACCTGACTGTAATCACCTAGTATCCTTGTCTGTTGCAGGTGTGGGCATTTGTGTACATGCGCCAAATGTGCCAATGAGTTGCTCCAAAGCAGAAGAAAGTGCCCAATGTGTCAAGCTCCTGTGGTGGAGGTGATACGTGCTTATTCTATACAATAATTTGACATTAAAATAAAGGTCACACTTTAACAAAATACAGGATTCTAACAAGTTTTATCGCCTGGACGTTTCCAGGTACTCTTTTTCGTTGTTAATTTTTTTTTTGTTTCTTACTGTGATAACTGTATTTATGTCGAGTGTACAATGGAACACATGATGGCATTTTTTGGGGCCATGATTCCGATATGAATAAAAAATGTGTCGTTTTAAAGTTTCGATTTGCACTTTTTATGATTGTGTGTAGAGTTATCTTGATTTTTAATTCTAGCCTAGGTGGGTTGGATGGTGGTTATATATATCAAACCCATCTCTTCATTATTTATGTGATTCTGTTGGTGCTCTAACGTGTCAAGACTCGTTCCGGTTGTACACTACATATGTGAAAATCAGATTCGATTGGTTTTGTTCTGAAGTGGGTTGAGGGCTTGCCTGGTTGTTATGAACCGTACCAATGCTGATTTGTCATGGAACCTGCACCTTTTGTTTCTAGTGTGTCTCTGATGATTGGGAGAAGTTTCTTGACAAATGACAGCATATCACAAATACAAAGATTTCGTTGGATCAAATATCCCATTTCGAAATGTTCTTTTTGTTCTTAATTTTTTAATTTTTGCATGATTTGCAGTTTGGTAAGACTACAATACTGACAACCTCTTTTACGCAATGTTTTCACTTTATTAATCCACGTAATTAATTGCGTAGTTGTTTTTCTTTAGTTGTAGGTTTGAGAGTATGACCTAGTAACATCCAATATTTGACTTTTGGGTTAAGATAAAACAGAGAAAATGAATCAATCATATAACTGTCGGCAAAATAATAAGTAAATCTGGGTGTTCAAACCCATCTATTCAAGGTCGGTCTTTTATTTTATTCAATAATTCTTTTTAATGCCCCAATTAAGGTAAAGAAATATTCAATGACGTTTGAATGTTTTAATTGTTGAAAATTTATTTTATTATAGGTTTATAGCTGGTCTGGGTATAAAATATTGTTGCATAAAAATATAATTAAATCAACTTCTAAACAGGAATTGTGACAATTATCATTTTTATCTAATTTTGTTATTCCTTTTTCATCAATATAATATTTCTACATTTTAACATTCATCTCTATCTATATCATATTAAAGAGTCGTAAAACTACTTATCATATCTCAATGATGGGAAAAATAAATCAATATCATATGAGAAATATCTATTATAGTTCATGGAGTGTAAATAATTTTTACTTATAGATGTTATTAAATATAGTATACTAAAATTTAAATTACCCTTAAATTTAAATATTTTTTTAATTTTGAAATGTGAAATGATAAAATAATGTAATTAATTACAATTATATTCTATTTTTTTTTATTTTCATAACATTTAAAGTTTATGAACTATATTTCAAATGATGAAGTATAAAAATAATAAGGAAATAAATTAGAATCAAACTTTTAGAAATATTTTCTCTTAATAATAATGTATAAAACAAATTATTTTGATCTATATGGCAAATATATATTTTATTACATTAACTTCTTCATAATAATTTTTTTTTAATAATAATACCAAGTACTATCTTCTGATTTTTTAGTAGCATTTTTCTTTAATTATTTTTATTCTTCCAAGAAACTAAGTTAAATAATGTGGTGTCAATTTTTTTTTTAAAATAATGTGTAACTTAAAATGACTTGTAAAATGTATAGGGTAAAATAATTTATTGCATAGAATAAAAAATATCAGGTAGAATTTTTATAAGAATAAAAAATGTCAAGTAGAATTTTTATATGAATAATTAAGAAAAAAATAAGTTCACAACTTAAGTTGTTATTATTTAGAAGCATGAAGACTTAGGTTCAATTTTCATTTGCGACTATCTTTATAATTTTTCTTATCTTTACCCAATTTTTCTTTTATAATAATATGTTAATTCATGTCCTAGTTTACCTAGAAATAAAGTAAATATTAAAAATTTCCAAACTGTGATATTGACCACAACTAACTCGCGAATATGAAGAATTTCTACAAATGCTCAAATAAATTTAAAAAAAAAAAATGAGGATTCACTACGAAAGGAAACCAGTATCAGAGAGTAAAAAAAAATATTAAAAAAATGAAAATTTCTATAAAAAAAATGAAAAAAAATAAGAGAGTTGGGCAGCGACAGTTCCTAATGTTGACTTGTAAGTTGCAAAAACTACCTTTTTAATCCAATGATTCAAAAACAATGAACATTTTAAATAAACAAGAGCTGTCAAAATAAAAGACTAATATTTATTGTAAAATAATGTCCTAGCAAATCCTCCATTGTAGAAGTTATATTAGTTAGAATATGTGCAAGAATCACTTCCTTGGTCGGAATTAAACAAAAGTAGAATCAAGACAACGAATTTGACGTTGGACCCCAGAGAATCAATCTCAAGGTAAAAATGTAAATTGGAGATTTTGTAACTAGCAGAATATGCCATTTAATCTTTCTTGAACTAGTGATTTTGCAGGTAGAAAAATGTTGATAGAAATGGAGCAGAGAGGGATCAATGATCATGGTCATTTTGATGAAATAAAAGAGAGGGTGGAGACATGGCAGTGACAACCAAATTAATGCAAGCACCATAGTGAGATAGGATTAATTAATATTTAAAATATAAAGTGGATAGGATTAATTAAATAAGATATAAGAGAATGGTAATAATTTATTAAAGAGTGGCATGACAATTGACAAGTGGCAATGAGAATGAATAAGAGACGGAAAGTGAAGTTGTAATCCAAGTTTGGTTCTCTTCTCAGTTCTCACTCAAACCGATTCCACCTCTTCACTCTCCTTCACCGCCGCTCCACTAAACTCGCTGCACCGGCACACGGGGCACGACACGTGCGCCTCAAGCCACGTGTCAATGCACTGCGGGTGGAACACGTGCCCGCACTGCGGTATCACCTTCACCGCCTCGCCGTCGCCGAACTCCTCCAGACATATCGCGCACTCCGCCTGCTTCCCGCCGTCGCCGCGGTGCGCCACCACCGGCAGGGACTTGGCCGCGGCGGAGGGCGGACTCCGACGGCTGCGGCTGCGGCGGAAGGTGGCGACCTCGGAGGGGAACTGGCGGAAGTAGAGGAAGACGAAGCCGATGAAGAAGAAGGTGGTGAAGAGGATGAGGAAGACGTAGGCCACGCTGGAGGCGAATACCGGACGAATCGCCACTTGCAGAGGGCTCGCCGGCGTTGAGAATTGCTGCTGCGGCGCCGCCGCCGACGTGTTTACGGCGTGTTTGGCGTCTGGGAGAGGGGGCCTGGCCATGGGATTGGGAACGTCCTCGTTTAGTAGTAGCACTTTGCGCTTGGAGAATTCCATTCTTTTCCCAACCAAACACTGTCTTACTCTTTGTTTTTTTATTTTTATTTTTTATATAACTTTCTATTTCTATCGCTCTGCTGCTACTGGAATCATAAAAGGTGGAGTAGTAGACTAGAGTAGCGGCTTTTATATTTTATTATTTCTTATAAGTTATAATAATATTTTGGTTTAATTAAATTAGAGTGAGGTGACAGGAACCAAGCATGGGAGCCACCGCATTTAATCCCTCACTCTGGAGTTTACGGGAATGTTGCATTGCATTCGATATTATTATTATAATGCCCAACCCATTGGATTTAACTCTATCAGGCCACTTACATAACATATTAATCAGAAAATAAATAATTAATGCTAGATTCAAATGCATAACAAAGCTGAAATATTAATTTTCAATTTAATCAACTAATTTTTTCACACTTTAACTTTACTTATTCTAGAGTAGTCAAATTGGTACCCACCGGCCATTGGAGTGGTTGTGGGACCAAAACAGGTTAATTAGGACCCTTATTTTTTTTTTATTTTTTTTATATATATGTTTTATTCGGTCAATTTTTAATTATGAGCTCAATTCTAGATTCTAACTCGAGTATGCTGAGATAAAGATTGACATGAAGTACGGATTAGACAATATTATATAGTTACAATTGAATTTATATGGAATGCTTTTAATATGAAGTAATTGAGCATATGTCTTATCTACGAGATAGTAAAATGATTGGTAATAGCAAGTTTTTTAACTTGTTAATTTATATTTACAAAATAATTCTTATATTATATGTGGAGGCACAGTAGAGGCGTAGTGGTGCCACCGGCCTTATCACTACCTTCCCTCCCTGTCATTTGCAGCGTTCAACTCTTTCAAGGCCTCTCTTTTGCCTTCGCTTTTTTGCCATCAACTATATTCGTTATGACTAAAATCTCGCCACTTCCAAACCCGGCCCCGCCTTTAGCTCGCCCTTGACAGCCTTACCGTCGCACTCGCCGTTATCATCTTCCTCGTTCTCACCAGCGGCACCAACAACCACTCGCCATCCTCACCACCACAAGAAAATCAAAACTGGAACTAATCTACAAAATACAAAAATATTATTTTCTAAGTTACAGATAACAAATCTCAATCATTAATTATTATAATATTAAATCTAATGATAAAAAATAATATTTAATCCATGTACACATTTTTTTTCTTCTATTTCATGTTAAAATTTTCCCTTTTTTAAAGGTGACCAAGATTTTGGAAGTGAAGACCCCCGGAAAATAGTGAACCTATATATACTTAGTAGCTCTTTGTCGAAGGTCGTCCAAATCT